TATTTTACCTTTTTCTGTAGATAGAACAGGAAGAACTAATGACTGTAGTTGTCCACATGATGGCGCTCTTTAGCACTGATGTGCCAATGCACAGAGACAGGCTGAGCCATTCTCACTCTCATGAGCTGCTGAATGCCAAGATGTTCTCCATAGTTCTTAACATTTAGGAGTAATTTAGGTGGAAGTTGTTGTTTCTGTCAAATACAAGCTGAAACTGATGACATATTTGCTTTGTAGTAATTAGTAACTTAGGAGGACTTTTATTACTTTATTGAAAATTCTGTCTTTTCTCATTTTCACCCTTACTAAAAGAATATTTTTCTTGCTTTTTATTTATTTATTTTTTTACCTTTTTTATTTACTGGGGAAAAAACAAGAACAAAACAATTATAATGAAAATGAAAAAAAAATGAAGTGAACTGTAACATAGTGATGGAGTTTTAGTTATTTATACACACTTTATTATAATCTGTATAATTCTTTTATCTCTATTTGAATATATAACCAATTTATTCACAAGGAAAGAGGGATTTCTTTTATTGATCACAAATATTTCCTCCACAATTCCTTCCATTTTTTACTGTGATAAGAGTTACCTGTCAGCCAGCCACATGTGATGGTTTCCTAGCTTGCTATCAGCTTTACTTCGTAGAGGTAAACATCCTCCTTTTACATGACTTACATGAGATCCACAGACGACCATCTTTGTTTTTTTTTTGTTTTTTTTTGCTGTTATTTCCCAGAAGGTTTCAATTATGGGGTAATTCCAGAATTCATGGAGACGGTCTTGATCGTTTTGCCTCACTGGCTCCAGCACAGTTGATGAGAAATGAGGGGATTTTTTTGTCTTTTTATTGGAAAAAGAGATAAATGATGTATTGGGACCTTTTCTACATTGAAAAAACATAAAAGTTTTAAACCTGTTTGCTTAAATACACTCCAGCATGTTTACTTTTCTTTTTTTTTTTTTTCTTGTTTTTAGACTGCTTTGTCTATATTTGTATTTTGACCCTGGTTTTGCTTTGACTGTATTCTATAATTTAATTTTTAAAAACTAGTTTACTTTTTATGGGTTTTCTAAATTTGACTCAAATAATCACATTCAGCAAAGGCGAAACATAGTGTTTAAAACATGAAATATTGTTGGGGGTTTTTCTCACCAATAAGAAGCTTATCATTGTATTCAGATGTTCATCTCATTAAATTAAATAAAACTTATATAGACTGAGGTTCACTCCTGTACCTCAGCTAACTGTAGTGGAACCGCTGAGGTTTTTCTTCTGCTGTACGCCATCAAGGATCTACTTCTTTGCACCAAAAACCTATTTTGCGTAGCTTGGTTTCATCCAGTTTGCCGGATGTTCTTTATCTTTACATCTGAGGATGTTGATGAGAAAACCACTGTATATAAGGAGAAATATTCAGATCCAGTCTATGTGGTTCCATCAGTCTGTCCTCTTTTAAACTCAATCCTTTATGTTGCTGTTCAGCTCCACTGATTCAATAGCTGTGAGAACCAGCAGTAAAGATGAACCTTAGAACAAAAAAACTTAGTCACATTTGTTTTGTTTTTTAAAGAAAAATGAGCCCTTGATGAGTCAAAGAAACCTCTGAAACCTTCAGTTCCCCATAAATGAGAAGCTTGGCTCTGCATAATGTTCACCTTTATCTCCAGGATCACCAACTCTCCTGCGGCGGACATCGCTGTGGTCTGGGCGAAATGTGATGACGGGAAGGTCCGCGGCTTCATCCTGGAGCGCGGCATGAAGGGCTTCTCCACCCCGAAGATCGAGGGGAAGTTCTCCCTGAGGGCTTCAGCCACGGGGATGATCCTCATGGACGAAGTGGAGGTTCCTGAGGAGAACCTTCTCCCAAAAGTCTCTGGTCTCGGGGTGAGTGAAGACCTCTGCTGTTCATTAAATCAGTGAATTAATGTGATTTTCTTTAACCTGACATCCGATCCTCCCGCTGTGGCCTGCAGGGTCCGTTCGGCTGCTTGAACAACGCCCGCTACGGGATAGCCTGGGGGGCTCTGGGAGCCGCAGAGTTCTGTTTCCACGCGGCCCGGCAGTACACGCTGGACAGGTCAGACAACAAAAATGGATATTTTCAGAGGAATGAAAGCTGGAAGTTAGTTTATTAGATAGAATATTGATTTGTTTCTTTCTCTTTTTTATACCAGGATCCAGTTTGGCGTTCCTTTAGCCCGGAATCAGCTGATGCAGAAGAAAATGGCCGACATGTTGACAGAGATCACCATCGGCCTGCAGTCCTGCCTGCAGCTGGGCAGACTTATAGATGAGAAGAAGTAAGAACGCCCCTCATCCTCTTTAGATCAGGGGTTCCCGAAGTGGTGTGATCCCTGAGGTCTGTGGAGGGCTAAATATACCATTATTTATGTTGATGCAAATATTAGATATATAATTAAATTGTAAAATGCATCTGTATATTTAAACACTCTACTAAAAATTTTTGAAATAGATTTTAAATTAAATAAATGTCTTTGAAAAAAATGTCAGAAAGATAAATCTGAAATAATTCTCTATATTTTTAATCATATTTTTATATATTTTACATATATTTGGTGCTGCTATTTTTGGGAACAATGGCTGAAAAATTTCTTCAAAAACCTGCTGCTTTAAGCCCCTGTCACACCTTGCTGATTTAGCCAGCGTATGCCTGACGTCCCAGAATCCTCTAAAATGCTGGCATACGATGAACTTTCTACGGATTGTTTTAATTTTGAGTGTTCATAACGAGTCTAGAGTAGATGTCCAATGACAGCCTGACTGACTCGCTGCGTAATGCCCATGAAATGATGCACAAGCCAGTGTCCTGAGGGGAGCAGCGATGCGCCCAGTCTGCATAAAAAGATTTATTTGATCGTATTAACCTAGCTGCTGTTTACCGCCCGCCAAAAAAAAAAGAATAAAGAAAGAAAGATAAGAAAAAGAAAGAAGGTTTGCAGTTGCAGCAGATTCAGCATCATGTCTTCTAAGAAGTTTGTTGGTCGTGGGCGTGAACGCAGGAAGGATCCATCAGACACACCTTCTGGCTAAACCTGTAATGGGGATGAAGTCTGGAGGAGAACTGTTTCCTCCTGTGAACCACCTTTTATACCAAAACGCTGCCAATACACCATTATGCAGTAGCTGGAAGTTAGAAACACCTTTAGGGGTTGTCTGGAACACGTCAAATACGTTCCTATGCGTTGGAGAGAAGTTCTTGAAAGTTACGCATAAGTTATGTACAAGTTACTCTCAGATTTTGGATAAGCTAGACGCCACAAGTTATGAGTAACTTACACTTAAGTGTATGTCAACGATCAGATAACTTAACTGTAACTTAGGCCCAACGTATGGAATACGCTGGCATATGTCGAGAACTGTTCTCAACGTACTCGCCATACGTCGAGATGTGCCAGCGTGCTTCAGCGTGCTCATAACTCATACAAAACATACCCATAACTTATCCAACATATGCCAACATTTTTGCCAGATCTTTCGTACGTCAGGCATACGCTGGTTTAAATGGTCAAGGTGTGACTGGGGCTTTAGGAACGATCAGCTGAAAATGTCTCTCCATTAAAACCCTACAGTCAATCAGACATTTTTCTGCCTGTGAAGCTGAAGGCTGACCCTGCATCTCTTCCTGATGGTTTTATTTTATTTATATTTTATTGTCTGTTTCACAGTTGAAAGTCAGTTCTTTAAGATTCTCACAGCAGTTTTTTCTTGAGTGCCACAATAATAGGACATTAGGTTTGGAACAAAAGTAAACAAAACAAACAGAATATAAAATAATTTAAGTAAAATTTTAGATTCGAACCAGGATATAAGTAACTAATGACATTCCTTATAGAGTAAATGTTCTTTCTTCTTTTTTGTGCCTCCTACATTAAATAAACATCCAGCCTTCACAACAAGCTCCTAAATAAAATCCCTTCTATGTTGCTTTAAGCCATCCTTTCCAATAATTGTTGAATTTATCAACTTCCAGTGTAATAGATGCAGTTATCTTTTCCATATTATAATAGTTAGCATTAAATCAATCCATTCATCCATGTTTGGCACCAAATCACTTCTCCATCTTCTGGTTATTGCTTCCTTACTAGCCAACATCAGTCAAAGTGATTTATAATTGTCTGTTCTTTTTAAATTGAGAGTCTCAATCCTCCTGGTATTTTAGTTTCTAGCACTTCATCAATGATCACTTTTTAAACCTTTTAAAGTTGCTAATAAGCAACAAACCACCCGTGTTACACTGCAAAAAAATTAAATCTAAGTAAGTATATCTTTCTTAAAATAAGAGCATTTTTTTCTTGAATTGAGCAAGTAAGTGAAACACTTTCTATAGGAACAACACAATCTTCATTTAAAATAAGAAAAAACAACAACTGCAGTCTCTTTTTTCAAGTGCATAATATCTAATTATCTTATTTTTTGTGTAAAAATGCTCGTTCCATTGGCAGATCATCTTATTTTGCTACTCATATTAAGGATAAATACACTTATTTTAAGACATTTTTACTCATTTTCAGGACATTTTTGCAGTGTAGGCAGACAGCCACTGCAAAAATTAGATCTAAATAAGCCATTTTTTTCTTAAACTAAGTGCTTTTTTCTTGAACTTAGATGGTAAGTGAGACACTTTCCCAATGGAACAAGACAATTTACATTTAAAATAAGAAAAAAACAATTACATTGTCTTATTTCCAGTGCATATAATCTAATTATCATATGTTATGAGAAAAACGACTAATTCTGTTGGCAAATCATCGTATTTACCTGCTCAAATAAAGGGGAAATACTCTTAATTTAAGAAATTTGTACTTATTTCTTGATCGTTTTTGCAGTGTAGAGTGTTTTTGCATCACCCCAGTGCTAGTCACAGTGTGTGTTATTATGTAGTTATAACTGCTGTCACTAAATATATGTTACCTTTATTTCTATTTATTTAGTAACATTAACTTTTTTAATTTGGCATCTCCTTGAAGGGGAAAAATAAGCACAAAATGTCTTTTTATATGTACATGTATATCAATACAGGCTTCAATGGGTTAATAGTGTGCAGTACTGGTTTGTACGGGAGCATCCCCAAAAGTTGTGAAGAGATCTGATTTTGTTTCTCTACATGATCTCTAACATTTAGTATCTCCATGCTCTCTGTGAGCAGGGGTCGCAAAACTCCTTCCATCCATATTCCCTCCATGTTGAATTTGTGTTTTTCCACTGATATTTATTAATCTCCTCCCAATCCTCCCGTTTCCTGATGGTTTTAAGCAGACTCATCGACATTTATATAAAGATCAGATTTATCTGATGTAGAAAACACAGATGGGTGTTTACGTGCCTCCAACTTATAGAAGACAAAGCTGAGCAAACTAGAAACGCACAGATAGATACTGATATCGGAATGAAGGACATTCTAGCTCAGATGTCAGGGAAATTTCTCTAATCCAGAGGGGTATTCATTCTATTTCTGGATGAAATTTAACAAACATGGCTCAGTGCGTCCCTTAAATCAAACATGCTAGAGTCTGATTGGATCTCCTGGTTGTTGCTTTAACTACAGAGCAGCTCCAGAGATGATCTCCATGCTGAAGAGGAACAGCTGCGGTAAAGCCCTGGACATCGCCAGGCAGGCCAGAGACATGCTGGGAGGGAACGGCATCGCAGACGAGTACCACATCATCCGCCACGTCATGAACCTGGAGGCCGTCAACACCTACGAAGGTGAGGAGCTAAACGGGAAGGGTTCAAGGTTTTAAAGGATTTGTTTCTCTGATTTATTGGGTTTTTATGTCAGAGATCATCAGAAAGATGAATATCATCATGACAGTAAGGAGGACCATAAAAATCAGGCTGTTTGTTAAATTCACTCCAACTGGTGGAACTCCAGTTCCTATATGGTATCAATTTAGTGCTGTTATTGTTGCAAGAAAATAAAACATTGTATAAATGGAAATTTGAAAAAAGAAAAAAAAATTTTTCCAGAAATAAATCTTTGAAAAAACGGAAATACAAAAAAGGTTTTGAGACTTAACTCTTGTCTTAGCTTATTTTGTTGATTTTTCTTCTCCCTTTTTTTGGCCAATTATTTTTTATTTTTTTTTGTACAGAATTTGACACTTTTGTTTAAAATTTTACTTTTCCCAAAACCAAACCAAATTTCTGTTCTATGAGTTTTGTTTTTCGTATTTCGCTGTCTTCAGGCTCCGATGGGTTCCTTGTTCCCTCTTATTGCATCTAAAAAAAAATAAAGCTCCAAAAGTTAAAAAACGATATCATTGTTTTCTAAAGACAAACGTTTTGTATATTTTTCTCTTTTTTTTTTTTTTTATATTGCACATTTTACTGGAACTTATTGCAAAATCTTATTTTTTCATTAGAAGAAAAATTCTACCCATCGGTTCTTTTAACTTGCAGAATTTGGTCCTCTGCCAAATGTTTGAACTCCACTGCTTTGGTTTATTGGAACTGCATCAGTAGTACAGCAGATCTGGACTTTGATTAGGCCAATTTAGTACACAATATAAACCATTTAGCCCTATTTTAAAGCCTCTAATCGGATTATTCAAGAATTTCCTTGCATTATGTTGAATCCATCTTCTCAAAATCTGACCATCTCTTCTGGAGCAAAGTAATCCCCACAGCATGATGCTGCCTCTATCATGTTTATCAGGGTTGTCCTGGATGATGTGTTAGTTTTCTACCTCAAATAGTGCTTGGATTTTAGGACGGAATAAAGTTTTTAATTAAGGCAATCAGAGCGCCTCTCTACACAAGAAACAAAACACATCTTTACCCCCACGAAATAAAAATCTGGGTTCTTTTATTTCCTCTGCATGGTTTTCCACTTTAGGGCTGAAAAAAACAATTTATCGGATTAGTTGTGATTAATCGATTATTGAAATAATCGTCAACTAATCTAGTAATCGATTAGTCGTTAATTTGATTATAGAGACGCTAAAACATAAATCAGACAGAGAAAACCAGTTAGAGCAGTAATTATATCAAAATTGTTTTAAAAAATGTATATAGAATTTTGCTTTTAAGGTAGAAAAAAACTTTTTTGTCTGTCAATATGCTCTATCCAGAACTCAGTGGAAAAATTTTTGTTTCACCTGATTTATTTTGGAAAAACTCTTCCTTATGGAACCTTCTGCTTATCAAAAAAATAATTAACAGATTAATCGATTTGCAAAATAATCGTTATTTGCAGCCATTGTGGACTTTGTGTTGGTCTGTCTGCTAAAATCCTATTAAAACACTTTGATCTTTGTGGTTTTGGTGCTTCTTAAAAAAAGGATGGAAAATGCTGTAGTTTTAGGACAAAGTTCCACCATGACTGCTGTGTTGGTTTGCATTAAACCATTTAACCAAACATGTTTCTCCAGGAGTTATTTTGATCCATATCTTTATTCTTTTTTCATCTCTTCAGGTACTCACGACATCCACGCCCTGATCCTGGGCAGAGCCATCACAGGCTTACAGTCCTTCACAGTCGGCAAATGATCCGTCCTTCCTGCCGCTGCAGAAGCAAACTGGATTCTGATTTCAAACCAGTTTCAAAAAAAAGAAAAAAATGATTTAACTTTATCGAAAATCTGTTGAAGTGCTTTATTTTGGAGAGATTTACACATTCAAGTTCCGTCTGAACTCTGGAGCTGACGAAGATTGTAGGAACCTCTGAAGTCCGTTTCAAGATGGCCGTTTGTCCCACAGCAGGAATCAGTTGCTCCGTGCGTTTTTCGATGAACAAATTCTCCTCGTTGTTTACTTTAATAGTTAGTGAAAAGTTTAGAATGAGTTAAAGTTGCTGTTTTTGACATCTGGAAGCATGAATACCCACAGCGTGTTCTCCATCATCATTTAGGAGGTTTTTCTCTGTTTCAAACTGGTTCATTAGTGGAATTTAAACTGTTACAGTAATTATGACTTCTTGCACTTTACAAACTTTAACACTAAGATGTTAGCCTGCCATCATTTGAATAAATAAAGATTTTAAAATCCATTGAATGTGTTCAGGAGAATGATTTTCAGGCTCTTAACTGTAAATGGATGATATATTTGCATGAAACTTTGAGGTTCAAATAAAAGATAAATGTTAGATTTGTTTTTACCGGTACATCATTTTGCACAAACATTCCTCGATATTTTCAAACCTAAAAATACAAATAAACTGATGGTTGTTTGAAAACGACAACAGATTTCTTATATCAGACAATTAAAAGAAACAATTTGAGAAGTTTTTTTTAAATATTTGCAGCTCTGAATGACTTTTATTTCGTTGGACTCAAAAGGTTATAGATTATATTTCCTGTGACAAATATAACTTCACAGGCAACAGCATCATGTAATTTGGGCTTTTAATAATGCATTTGAGCTGTAGTAACTACAAAAAAGTATTTGGTCTATTGTGGATTATTTCTAGTTAAAATTGTAAATAGAAACATAAGACGCCTAGTGGTTAAACTGCACCTTAACCAAGCCCTTTAACAATCTGCTCGGATATTTGAACTAATTTGTTATTAAAGGGTAGGGTTGTCACAATCCTAAGCTTTTTAACTCGATACTGATACTAAGTAAAATATTCAATGTCATTTTCGATACCACAAGGATAAAAACAGACTCCAAAATTTAACAGAAATTTTTTCATTAATAAAAAAAAATAGAATAAATAGATACATAAATACAATAAACAATATTTTGAGGTTGTTTGCTGTGCACAATATTAAGCAAGCTTGATAAAAAACTTACAAAATTAAAATTAAGTGTTCCTTCCTTGGCTATGCTTTGCACAGATAGATATGACAGTAGCCAAACCGGTTAAAAAACAAAAATAATTCTCAGCAGCTGCAACTCTTACAAAAAAAAGTCTGAAACTGAAAAGTGCAAAGAATTATTCAATCACACAGTGTTCTGAAAGTGCATTTTCCTCTATTCTGCACTTTAGATGATTAACTTTAGGTTCCACTGGTGGTAGCACTGTATCAATACTTTTAAAAATGAGTATTGTATCCGGATACAACTTTTCAGTACTATTTTGAGTATCGATACTTTTGACAACACTATTAAAGGCTCGATGTCTTTAAATGTATTTTCTTTTCAGACAGGCCGTACATTTAGGGTAGTGCGCTCACTGCAAAAATAATCCAACAATTTGTAAATACAACCCCTGGCAAAAAGTATGGAATCACCAGTCTTGGATGAGCACTCATTCAGACATTTCATGCTGTAAAACAAACTCAGATCAAAAACATGATACAATATTAAGGTCGTTCCAAAGTGCAACTTGTTGGCTTTCAGGAACACTCAAAGAAATGAAGAGAAAACATTGTGGAAGTCAGTGAATGATACTTTTATTGACCAAACACAGGGAAATAAATATGGAATCACTCAATTCTGAGGAAAAAAGTATGGAATCATGAAAAACGCATAAACAAAAGACCATTCAAAATACATCACTAGTATTTAGTTGCACCACCTTTGGCTTTTATAACAGCTTTCAGTCTTTGAGGCATGGACTTGATGAGTGACAAACAGTATTCTTCATCAATTTGGTGCCAACTCTCTTTGATAGCAGTTGCCAGATCAGCTTTGCTGGTTGGACCCTTCTTG